TAAAACGTCAGTGTAAACGGCATGAATGGCCTTAAGTGGCCGTTAAAATTGCGGTTATTGTTTTCGGCGCTGTTGGGTAGGAGACATTCTCGAAACGAGCGAGAAAAAAAAAGAGGCGAACGAAGAAGGAGGGACGGAATGGACGCCAAAATCGGACGGAGAGAGTTCACGGCACAGAGGGTATACACACACACACACACACACACACACACGAGTGCAGGCGCTTGACGTTTAATCATCCCGGCGAGATTTACGAGTGGGATCTCGTTATATCTCCGCGATGCCAATGCTGCTCTCGTGTTGTGTGTGTGTGTGTGTGTGTGTGTACGCGTGGAGAGGCCGATCGGCTGTATGTGAGCGCGAGAGAATCGTCCGGTCCACTTCCATTAAATGCCACTTGCACGTAGCCATGCCGCACTGCAGCGAGTGAAATTGCTCTTTTATTCAACGTCCAGTGCAGAGAGAAATTACGTATACTTTGATAAAAATTGATAAATTGTTCTTGTAGGAGTTTCTCTCAGATAACATTTTTTTTTTTTTTTTGCTATTTCCCTCGTATGACTAGTGACTATGTTTTCATTAAAACATTAATTGTTATTTTTTTGAGGTGATATCTGAGTCAGCTCTTTATTTTGACGTTATATTATATCGGGTCTGTAAATAAAAGCGAATCTACGTATCAAATTTAAACTCGATTGAATGTCGACTCTCCAAAATAATCCTCGTACATGCTTTTATTATTATAAACGAAGCAATAAATGTCTTTGGCCACCATTATATTATAGGTTTGAAATGTATCTTAAATAGAGATTCGTGTATAAAGTTACTTTTTTTGGTCTGCAAAAATTATGAGGCATTTCTGTGGAGCAGTTGTGAATGAAAATTGATTAAATGTTTTTAAATGAACACTTAATCGATATACTTTGATGTAAATAAATAAATTTCATATTCCCAAAATTCTCCCCTTGCGCTGTGAATTTCTAAGCAAGAAAAAATAAAGTAACGTCATCGCTATTTTCTCTTATGATTTGAAAGCTATAAAAAAAAAAAAAACGTTCTAAAGGAAGTCCAAGCTGATGACCGACATTAACAGTCCAGACGTGGATTTATCACCTCTTCCGCTCACTAGGCAAGGCGCGCAAGCTCCGCAATCTCCCCAAAGTTTAGAGCTCGGACCAAGAATCCAAAGGGGTTGAGCGGGGAGTTTCGGGCTCTAGCGAGTCAAGTACGTGGTATGTATTTGTGACATGCACACACAGGCGAGCGTGTACCGCTTGACGCGCCAGCCAAAACTTCCCTAATATCGCACCGTCCATTTATACCCCCACACACATGTAGCCCTTCCAAGTCCGCAAAGACCCAAAGGCTTGTAAACTTAATATACGGCCGCAATTAGCAGCAGCGGCAGTGGCGCCAAAGCGCCATGATAAAGGCTTTTCGGACGTGCTGTACGTATCTAGTACCGCGTGCGGTAAGCTCTTCGTGTGTGCGGATGGCGCTCGCGTCTCCCTTAATTTTCTTCCAAATTGATTGTTCTACACGGTTAAAATTAGATTTATCGCTCGTTACACCGATTCAGGGGGTTATTAACTTTTGCTTATCGCCGCTGCCTTCTCCCCAAATAGATGTAAAATAATTTTCTTCGGTTACTTGGGATGAACCAACGCGATTACAGGAGGAGGCTTTATTGCGGATTTTTTTCGATAAGTCCATAAATCTTTGCCAACCTTTTTCTCTCGATAAACACCGAGGGCACTCGGCAAATCTCCCTCTGGCTGTGCGGCATTCGAAAGGGAGAACGAAACGTGACGCGCCAGCAGAAGCACGAGGAGCATCCAAACTCTCAAAAGAGCAATATCAAAAGCCATCTTATAATTTTACGATCGACCGCTCGGGCCCGTGTTGTACTCGCCCGCATTCCGGGTGTATCGAGCGAACCTCCCTCTCTCTCTTTTTATTTAACGGTGTTACATACAAATATATACATGTGCTCATGACATGTTGCACTGCCATCTTCCACAGCTTGCCAGCTTACTTGCTGCATAATTAATCTCGGCGAGGAAAATTACGGGGACAGCAGTACACGCGTATCTTTTAATGGGCCACCGTGCAAGACTTCCTTATTTCCTGGGAGGGGGGTAGGGCGCTCCTTCGTTCTCTCTTCTTTCTTTGCGCAACGAGAGTCTCTCGGGGCTAATTCCTGAGGGATGCCTTTTTTTTTTAATGGCTCTTTTTGTACTTCCAAGTCGATGCAAAACAAAGAGGGGAACGAGGGAGCTACACGGATATACTTACGCAGGACAGCCGCTCGCGCACGCGCGCCACCCTCCTTTTTCTCATAAAGAAGATCGTTCCGAGGCAGCAGAATCCGGCAAAAAAGGAGGAAGAAACAACGCGCGCTTGCGTACGCGGACAAACAAGGGAAAAAGGGAAAGGGGCGAGGAGCAGCAGCAGTCGAGTCGAGAAGGTTTCGCCGTGGAGAGGCTCGCGCGAAACGCCGTCAGCAGGACGGAATGGCCTCCCTTTCGGTTGCCTTGGTAACGCTGCTGCTTCACCCTTCTCGACTTCTACCCCCGAGGTGAAATGTATACGCACGTACACGCATACGTGACTTTCTCACTGACGTCCCCGTTGCTCTTGGAGGGGAAGAATACAGCCACGCGTATATGGGGAAAAACACGCTCGTGGGGAAATCGGCCCCTGTGGTACATACGCAGTAGTAGGAAAGTGGCATCGGGGGGGCGAGAGAAAATGCGATTGTGTGTATACGTGCGATGAAGAGAGGCTCTCTCTCTCTCTGTAGCGGCTAGCTAGATGGCAAGGCTTCGAAACGGCCATGTTGAATTCAATATCGGAATTTCCAGCATTCCGCGAGATTTTCCACTCGATTTTGGGCTCTGGGAAGGGCGAGCTGATGCTTAAATGCCCCTCTTTTCACTCTTTTTTTCTACTTTCCTCTATTTTATAATCGTTTATTTTTTCTCTTTTACTTTTTTTTAGTAAAAGGTATCGTCTGTGGTATAGTTACGATGTTGTATTTTTTCAGGGATGACTATTTGTCGTACACTCGCATTATGGGGAAAGGATCTAAGGGAAGAACGTCAATCTTTTTATGGGGTCTATTAAAAAATCTCGTAAAAAATTATACTAGAGACTACTTTTATTCATACATAATTACTATGATTTTTATTTTTTTATGAAAGATTTTAACAAATATTATGTACTCAGTGTATTTTGGTTGAAGTTTTCAATCCATATTTATAATAATAAGTATATTAGAAGGGAAAGATTAAATTTTGCTCAACTGAATATTATATAATTTAAACGAATGAATATTACAATCAAAACTTTCGTTGTACAACTTTTTTATTATTATTGAAGAAGTACAAAATTTGTTTAAATTACTCCAGAAATATTTTTCCCAGTTCATTGTCATTATAAGATGATTTATGTGATACGGAAAAGAAATCCTTGAAAAAATTTACTTCTTGACTACTTACATAGCATTTGATACGAAAATGTGGGATGAGTCATAAATATCAGTCGGCAACTTTTTGACATTTATGGATGCGGAAATCATCATCTGCGTAACGCGCACCTCTGCCCCTTCTCTCTCCCTTGCTCTCTTATGCGCAGGTAAGACTTTGGAGACTTACCTGTGCAGAAATGGCAAAGAGTAGTATCCAATGCGAGACTCCTATAATCACCATTCAGGCGAACCCAAACACCGTAAAAAAGTTCTCCTCGGTGGGCTTCTTAGCTTTTATGACTCTGACTAGTGTTAGTCGTCTATTTTTACGCTTCTAGGTGAAAGTCAGAACCTCAGCTAGGAATTTCGGTGGTGGAAAGGGTTTCCTTTCTCGTCATAGTTTTCTAAAAAAAAAAAAAAAAAGTTGAAGCTGCGTGACGGTATTTTTCTTTCCTGCAGGTTTCTCGAAAACTTTCTTTTTTTTCTAAGACGAGCTGCAAGATGCAACCCCTGCTCCTTTGGTCGAGATATCGCACAGAACTGTACTCCTTTGTCTCGGGAGAAAGTGCAGCGGAAACGAAAAAACTGGGCTTAGTTTCAGATTTCGACGTTCTTGTTAACAATCGATTCTAGTTTACACTGACGTAACTTTGAAATAAGACAACAACCTTCTATCGTAATGGAAAAGCTTTATGGTGTACCAACGAATGTGCTGTGATTAGGCCAACTCAACCTTGAACTTTTTTACTGTATATCTTATGCGACCTACTCTAATTATAAGGTTTGATATCAGTCGATAGTGGCAACAAATAATGTTTATTGCAATTACATCAAAAACAGGAACCAATTGTGTGTATTTCTATGTATTTTGATGCATTAAATTAAAATACACTGTCAAAATTTTTTTTTATTTTTATCTATAAATTTGTTAAAAATCTTATACAACAATCATATATGCTTTTTAAACTTAATAAACCCATATGACTAACATTCAAAATGTTACTACTTTAAATAAAGCAACCATAAAATTTCCTCAAACTGATAAAAATTCGATTACATAAACTTCAACTGTCGCAGAAACTTGCAGTACGCTTTCAAAAGTAACTTGCACTTTCAAAACCCTCTGAATACACCCTAATATTATAATTACAGCTGATATTACCTCACAACCCAGAATTTGGTCCATTAAAATCTCATAGTCTGATAATGTAAGCTATTAAATCACCTCTTGACATGAGTTCGAAATACCACATAAATGAGTATGTTTTCTGGTAAAATTTTGAGGTTTATTCGAGTTATTAGCTATGATCATAATATGATGGTGTGTGTATAAGGGCATTAAACTATCAGACGGTAAATTTATTTGTGGGAGCTTGAAATCATTGCACCGTACCCAAAAATAAGCATCAGCTTTTAATTCCTCGTGCCCTATGACAAAAACACAATTTACACTGACACAGTAATATTAATGAAAAGAAAACCGATGAAGAACGCAAAAAGCTATTGATCGTTGTAATTATTGGCCTTGCAGGTCCGAACGGATGTCCCAGGCGCCGGGGGCGGCAAACGTACACGCGCTTCCAGACGCTCGAGCTCGAGAAGGAGTTCCACTTCAACCACTACCTAACGCGACGACGGCGGATCGAGATCGCACACGCGCTCTGCCTGACGGAGCGCCAGATCAAGATATGGTTCCAGAATCGGCGGATGAAGCTCAAAAAGGAGTTACGCGCCGTCAAGGAGATAAACGAGCAGGCGCGCCGCGAACGCGAGGAGCAGGACCTCATGAAGAAACAGCAGGCCGAGAAGCAAGCCAAGATCCAGCAGGAACAACAGAACGCCCTTCAGCAGCAGCAACAGCAGCAACACGTCCAGCAACAGCACCAGCAGCACCACGTGGGCGTTGCAGGGCTGGACAAGGCACAGAGCGACCTTCTCAAGGCGGTGAGCAAGGTGCCGACATAGGACAGTCTGTTGGGCCGCCTTTACCTGTCCTAGGTCTCGTGGACGGACCGCGACTCGGCAGCCGAGGCGGCGGCCCTCGCCCGCCACCTCGTCTCCTCCCACCAGCAGGTTCGTCCCGATGCCGCCCGACTACGTACTTACCTAGAGGCCGCTCATGCCAAGCTCACCACTGATGCTGTAGCCGCTGCTACCGCCAACGTCACTGCTGCTGCTGGTACCACAAGGCCACAGCAGCAGGTCCAATCGCCCCAGCAGTCCCTTCTGCTGCCACACACTTACTCGCAGACTGACCAGGATCCCTAGGATGTCGAATACCGTGCCATCTCTGTCCTACTATAATCGTTGCACCCACGGAAGACCGAGAGATTTATGACTCCTATAGTTCAGTGTACGGTGTGGACTTTTCGCGGGTGACACGCAGCATCTAGGCGAATCTTGAATCGATTGGAAACTGTGAATATGCTAATGCTACCCATTGTCAATATAGTAAGCAACGAGAGCCGATGCACGTGCTCTTGAGGTCGTTAAATATAGGTGCAGCCAGCGTTTTACTCGAGAAGACTGTTGTTAAATTGGTAACCGTAAAACGTAGGACGCTCCTTTGTGCGCTGTTGTGATCGAGTGATGCGTGTTGTAACTTAGCTTACAACGAGAAAAATGGACGCTGTTCCTGGTGCCATTGATCTCGGGACTCAGTTACGGTGATTTTTCGAATGGTGATCGATAATCAAAACCCGGTTTTAACGAAGAAAATGTGAATAATATAAATTACGTAGGAAAATTGAGGAGAGAAGACTTACTATTAATGATCGCTGATTATGTCACGAATGACGTGTACAAAAATTTTTTTTTGTTTGATTTTTTTTTTTTTTATTGGTTTTCGCTGTGTTTCACCTCCGTGTTATACGTGTTGATTTTTTGCGAAATGATGTTACGTGGAAGAAAAAATTTGCGAGAATCTTTATTGTGTTCAAGTTACGTAATTAGTGTTTAGAGTTTTTGTTTGAAGGAAACGAAAGTAAAAAAAATTTGAAAATTTGTTGCTTTTGCGGTTGTTTTAGCCCTTTTGTAACTTAATGCCGATGGATTTTATTGGTCCATCAGTCTTCGAAATTATTAGCCATCAGATGATTATTGCTTTTTGTTGTTCGATTATAATATTGTATTATCTTGTACTAGCAGTGCAAAGAAGTTCGTAATAACCCACTAAAGACAAAAGTCGATGGCATCTCTTTCATCATCAACAAATCAATTATTGAAACGATGGAACGAAATGAGGAAAAAAATTGCAAGATGTGCAAACGGTGAAACTATACCGGACGAGTAATTAACTCATAGTACAGTAAATACGTAATTTGGTGTCAGGGTAGACCTCCAGTAGATCCAAAGCCTGTTGTTGGTATCACATAATTAGTTGGGACTCGTATGAAAAAGATTAAAGATAAAACTGATAAGGTCGCGATAGTTCAGGCAACATAAAAAATTTATAACCTTTAGATCTAACTTCGAGTCAAAGTAATATAAAAATTTCAAAAAGAAAAATTTTTAAGACATCCATGAATGCAAATTATTGTCCAGTATAACCGAAAATACGTAATTCATAGACATATTAAACAATAATGAATAGTCTTTAAATGTGGATGATAATTTGAATCGAGTTTAGAGAAATAAAAATAAAAGAGTTTAATAAAATTATAATTTACTTATCAATAGTGACGATTGATCGAAGCCAAAAGCTAATGTTTTTGTGCGATAAGATTTTATTTTTTATCATTACATGAACTTTTCAATATATACTTATGAGGACAATAAACGAAAAGAAATTTCACAAAAATAATAAATGTCTCATTAGCTCGATTCAAATTGCTGTTTGTGACTTCTCAAAGAGGAAGTGAGTAAAGTTAATGTACTGAAAGAGTTATCCCAGTGAAGTATAAATCTAGTATTGAAAAAAAAAGTTTTCATGCGTATATATAAATGTACGTAAAAATAAGTTCGTAGAAAAAAGCAGAAAATTTCACTGCTGCAGGCGACAGAAGTGCAAAAAAAAGTAAGCGTACACCAGGCACGGCTCGACGCAGAAAAAAGCTCCGCCACAAACGTCCGGTGAAACGTATATTATCTATAAAAAAGTAGAGTAAAAATTATACTAAGCTTATCGAAGACAACACATAATTAATAAATAAATGACCGGTGTGTATAAGTAACCGCTAATCGACTAGTGAAGTAAAATAATTATAAATAAACGATCGTACGTAATTAGGAAACAAGTCCACGAAGTAAGAGGTGATAAAGAAAAAAATAATATACCTTCACCTGTAAACTCAATAGGCGAATATATACTTGTATCGTATAATCGTAATAGTGTGGTAATGTGTAATGATTGATTAAAAAAAATAATAATAATAACTAGTATCCAAGTACTACGCAATACTTCAAAAAAAGAAGATACCGGTGTCGTAAAGAAAAAACGAGTTAAAAATTAATTTTCACAAGCTATACATATATACACGCGTAGAGTGAGTGTGAGCGACTATGTGACTGTATAAGTGCAAGATGCGATTTTTAGTAGGTGTGAAACTGTTTCCGTTCTGCGCGAATTTATTCATGTAACGTAATACCGTGTTTAAATCGTATGTTTGCTGTATAGATCACTTGACATATGTTTTTTTTTTCTCTGAAAAAAAGGAGAAAAAAATTAATTATATAGAAAAAAGATAAGGAGCAGAAGCGTCAAAAAAGTGTGATCACGCATTTATCCCACCTTCCCCCTTGGCATAAGTATACGGCATATATTCGATGGAACGGATGGTAGAATTTTCGCCAGTAATACACAATTAAAAAGTCACTATCGACTTGTATGAGTGATACAACTACTTCTAGAAAACGCTTTACGTATACATTGATATTATGTATCACCCCCTTCCCCCCTACGCATTAATACTCGATCCTATTGTATTGCTAGTTACGTTTTGATGTTACGTCATTAATTAGTAATTATACTCTGACATACTACACAGAAGCCAAGCAGTACATGACAATGCTACGAATATAACGTCCAGTAATTAATTGATACGTAATAAACGATGAAATTGACGGCATTGAATGAAGCATGAATCTGCGAGACATTTAATACTAATTAAATTGTATTTGTACATATTACATTATAAGAGCTATTTTGCCGGGCACGATATGCAAAATTATTCAACTCGTATTTCTCTTTACGAGTTATCAAAATTACGAGATTTATAGAAGAAATGTGTATTACTTATTTGTAAATCTTTTTTTTTTAAGTTTGTCTCGGCTAAGGCGAGTAAATTTTTTAAATGTTTTTGGTAATCACTTCTGGCAGTGTATTGTAATTAAAGTATTGTTTTTGAATGTTGATGAGTTGCTAAATGGTTTTTTTCAAATTGTTTAAATTATTTAATGAAATTACTATTGTTGCATGAAATACTTTATCGTGAATTGAAAACAAGTCATACGGTGTGGCTTTCAGTATCCTCAAACAAATTACTTGAAAAATTTACATAAATACATAATTAAAAGTTTCAGCCACAACAAAATATTTTATCAATGTTTTCTCTTTGATTAGTTTTGAATTGATAATACAAAAGTATAAATGAATTAGAAAAATTTTCTGTACATGTGAACTTAATTTGAACGTTATTGTTACTGATTCTTTATTTTGTTTTATTACCTTAATTTTAAATCTTCTATGCTCTCCCATGAAATTTTTAAATATTAAAATTAAATATATGTATGGCGAAGCTACGCGAACATTTCCAGACGTACCTTTGTGAGCTTTTCCAAGTAGTACAACATTGCCCGACTTGCCAAATCTGCGGCTCATCATGTCGTCACACTTCTCATTAAACGAATTACTCTACGTAGCAGAAGTAATAAAGGAAAAAGAGCATAAAAGTATCATAATACATTAAACAGATGAAGAGGGAAATTCCTGCAATCAGTTCTATGTAGTAATTTTTTTACAAATTTCTCTGTAACATTAAAACATTAGTTTTTTAATAGTAACTTGTAAAATTATTAACTCAAGTGCAAGAATTAATAGTGTTTTTGACGCACTTATGAAGTCTTTGTCATCCACATGCAGTAAGAAGTGCATGAATTACGTTAAAAATTTGTTATATGTTTTTCTTTATCCTTGTGAATGTGATTATTTATGAACTGTTTACTTTACTTAGTATTTTTGGCATATACTTGTTTTTTGTTAACGTAAAACGTAAATTATCGATAAAGTGTGAACAAAAAAATGAAGCGACGAAATTTTTATAAATACACAATTAAAAGTAAACGTAGCGTAAGGTGACTATGATACTTCTGACTTTGAATACGATTGTAAACATTAGTGAGTAGTTCAATTAGAATGAAGGAGTAAAAAAATCGTCAAAGTGAGTGATGCAAGTATAAGATACAGCTCTATTGATTTTTTTATTACATCATTGCACGTACGACAATAGCAAAAAAAAATATCCAGCTAAATTAAATAGCCAGTGCATTAAAAATTTTGATAGTATTTATATGTTGTGATTTTTATGAGCATTGTTTTTTATCTTTTAGTTAGTTTGAAAAATTATTAATTACATTATTACAAAAGGTGCATTATCTATACATTTTTCGTAAAGGACATAAGTTTTATTGCAACCATAGTGTGAAAGCAATTGTTTTCTCTTATCTTCGGTCAACATTAATCGCAAGAAATTTTTCAGTTTAAAATTTTTTTTATGTTATTGTGAATCTGTTGAGATTTTTAGCTTTTTAAAAGCCTTAAGTCTTACGAAACGTTTTTAGTAAATTATTTACTACTGCTTAATAATGAAATACGATTAATCGTAGTCTTGAAAATAGTTAAAAACAAACTCCAAAAATTTTTCCAAGTACCTTCAGCAATTTTTTACAATGCACACATATTGTGATAAACAACGACATGTACATAAAACAAAAAATATATAAAAAACTAATCACAAGCACCAAAGTAA